CTGAATTGATGAAGTGTGGGGGAAGGGCTGAATTGATGCAGGATCTTGGGGACAGGATGATTTGGGGACGGCAGAGTGTGTGTGTGGGGGGGGCAGAATTCATTGCTGGGTAGGGGGACAGGCAGATGTGGGGATGAGAGCTCCTGAAGCAGGGGTTAAAATTAACTTTACCCAGTAAATTTGGGATCGTGGGCAACACTAACTATTTACTGGGAATTGGATTAAGACAATTTCGTTAGTCATAAAGTGTTGACTTTCGATCATTATTGGTCTGGACCAAATTTGAACCAGGGACCTGCTCGGTAACCCATCGACACTGTCCTCAACAATGTCAGCTCTAGGCCAACATGGTAAGCGGGTCACTGTACACCTCCAGAGTTGCTCAGCTGTTCATTCATTAATGGTCATTTTCAAAAGTGACCCATCCAGCCTTAATTGCAGGGGCCATCTCTGAGACCTTGCCTCTAATGTGGCACCCCTGTTGGAATGTACCCTACACAATCTGAGCATGAGATGAGCAGCCCTGTGTATTTCCATCCTATAGAAAATAGGAACGATTGTGCTCTGTGGGGCCTTCATGACATAGCCCTGTGCTGGTGGATGGGGTGGGGGTGCAGTGCTGCAACAGGCAGCAGTGACAATGCAGGCGTCATGCTTGGGCAGGCAGAATGAGGCCCCAGGGGTATATGGACACTGCACCGCCCTTTCAGGCGGTGGAGCAACTGTTCTCTCCGTGTTCAGCCAACTCTGATGGATGGTTCAAAGGGAGAGGCTAGCACCCAGTGGCACAAAAGCTCCTTGACTGCAAAGTATGGCACAACCTTGTGTGGGAATAAAAAGGGTTGTAACTACTTTGCACACCTGTGCAGAGGCCAGGTACAGCCTCGCTCTGTGCTCTTACATTAACAGCTACGAATGGCACATAGAGACGGTAACAGTTTTGCCTTGATAGCCTCTCCCCATGTGCTTTAGAGGTAGGTGCAGTGCTTCACCAGCACCCCATACTGCCCATGAGCCAGTCAGTCCCCTCAGAGAGAATTGACATTCTAACAGAACCCAGGACACGAAGGCTCATTGCACATGGAAGCAAAGGATTAAAGAGACTGAAATATCAGGGTATGTTGTTTAGCAAACTGGCCTCTTTTTTCCCTTAAGTACTTAATGTAACAACAATTTATTGGAACACAGCTAGCAGGCACAATTAAATCCTCCTTTCAATGAGATTTCCACAGTTATTACCTATTCTGCACTCAGTCCTTCTGTTTTAATTATTCCTCTTCAGTTAGGTCTGTTATGGAAAACAGTCAAAATTAAAAGCACATTTTCCTGATTAAATTCCCCCTCTTCTCCTTCAGACTGCAGCCACCTATTTATGGCTGCAAGCTTCATTTTACAGAGTTCTATTTCTGGGCCACTAATGTTATCTCACGCAGAGGGAAAAATACTCAGTATTCAGTGCAGCTACTTCTTCTGAAGTGGATACTCAGATTCTGTGCTGGCTTTAGGAGGAACAAAACAAATACCTCGGGACTGACCACAGCACCTGACAGACAAAACCTAATGAAGAGGTAGGTTCATTAGGAGCAAAGCCGGTTGAGGGAATTTAATGGGGCCAATGCTCTCTGATGGTCTTCAGGATGTAACTATATCATTTCAAGAAAAGAAATCTGATGTAACCCTGTCAAGTTGTTTTGGAATAGCAATATTCTATTACTATAATGGTGTGCCTGCTTTCCTACCTACCTACCTTTTCTGGACCTTAAGAAGAGCTCTGTGTAAGCTTGTGAGGTTGTCTCCTTCACCAACAGAAGTTGGTCCAGTAAAGATATTACCTCACCCACCTTATCTACCTATCTCCTTGTCAGTCAGTCTCTCTGCTTGATCTATGGCTACAATACAAGATGATATAGTTTTATCAGCTTGGGTTTAGGGTGGCTACATCTCTCATGTATGCCAAAGCCACTAATGAGTTACTGGAGTTAGTTTGTAAGTTACTCCAAATAAGTTCCAGTAAAATGTTCATATCACACCAGCACATATAGTATATGAAACATCTGTTACAGAGAAACCATTTTAGAAATGTTTTAGAGAGTTTTACAAACTTTTGGGGGACTATATTTTTGTTTGCAGCCACCTGGAAAGCCAGAGTCGATGAGAACCATTAATTCAATGTTTACAGGCTCACAGGGAAATATAAATTACAGCGAACACATTTTTTTTATCACAAGTAGTATTGTAATTTATGTAGTAGTTTAAAGATCCATGTGATGAATTGTATTAATGATGAACTGTTGACAACTGCACCTGCATTCTGCCACTAATCCATCTCCTCCCAGGACTACGTCCAACTTTCCAAAACCCAGAGCACCTTAAATAGCTACAGATTTTTAAAATATAACCTACCATAGAAATATTTCCTTCTTTCTGCCCAAATGTGGAATTTCACATCAGAATTACACTGGGTTGAAATCCAGAGTGGCCAATATTCATTCTTGGACTATTGGCAGATATAAGATCTCATCTTGTGTTTCATTATTTCTACAAGCAGGACCTTTCTACAATTTGAAAGAAAAGAGATTTTCAGCTTTTCAGTCAGACACACAGCACTTGCATCTAGCCTTGAATGGTGATGCGATATCAGACTTTAAATGTATGACATTTTGATGTACAGAAAAGCTATTTTTAGAAGTGAATTTGGTAAATTAGAAATTGCCATAACAATTTCAATAAAATTTCATTTAACATTTTGGATAAAAATATTGCATAATATTTTACTGAAAATGACCAAATCTGTGTATGGCATATTCAGGATATATGATGCAGTAGTATAAAGACATTAAGGGTGCTTATAAGTAATGTGCCCATTTAAAATCTGTGACAATAAAATGTTTAGGGCATATAATCATGTATTATGTGTACTTTAACCATTTATAAATTCCCACATCACACCACAAACACGCCAAATACTGTACAATGTGATATGATGAGCTAAAAACTCCGCAGGCCTGACTGATTGACTTCAATGGAGTAAGGCCAGCCGAGAATTTGGCCTTATAAATTGCAGAACCAACGATACGATAAATTGCATTTACCATGCACCTTTGGCCACCTGACTTGCTGTCTGCTCACTAATCAATCTCTGCTAAGGCGTACCCCACATTCTAAATCTCAGCATAGCTTCATAAAGTCACTCATTTTTCTCTTGAGCCTTCCCTTTTTATAGATTTTTAGTTCTGCACACAGAAAATGTATTGTTGGAAGGATTTATTCAGTTAAGATGTTCTCTTCATTTACTGAAGTATGGCCCTTGAAGTAAGCACTGCAAACTTTTCACTAAACACAGGATTCAGAAATTCAGGATTCAGAATTATGACCTACATTTAAAATAGAGAGAAAAATGTCAGATTTTATTAAACCATAACACTCATTGAATTTGATTTTTTTTCTTCCTTGCCCCTCAATCTCCAAAATTGTATCTTTTCATTTTCCTTCTCTTATCTCTGGCTGTCAGTTGATGTCATCTTAACGTCTTTCAGCTCATGCTTTAAGGGATACTCTGTACTCTATATATGCGTGTACATATCTACGTGACTCTTTCTAACCCCACTCAATACATCTGCAAACAGTGTGTTTTGCATTTTCCTTCTTTCTGAGTCTGAGCTCCTCAGTCAGAGAAGGGATGAGCTCACCTGATATTCTGGGCAATTCCAAAAAATGGGAGCATCGAAGATGAACAGGATGCATGTTTGAGTGTGAGAAAGAGACTTAAATCTCAATATTTACCAAGAATCTGTTCAGCCTTTTTCTTGATGAGGAATGGATCTTGTCCCCCTAATTGTGGCACCTCATTGTCTTTTTTAACAATAGTCATTTAGATACTTATCTGACCTGCACACATTCAAATGGGCACTTACATACTCTGGTGATGGGGACATTATAAATATTCGGTTGATAAATACAGTACTTATACCTAATCATCATGCGCCATTTTTCTGGCAGCTGCCCCCAAAGTACCGGTAGGTCATTTAGG